CATGCGGCATGTGGCAAGAGAAGGTCGTAATGTCTGCGGAAATATCCGTATAAGGCAGATTACGCCCACTCCCCTTTCTCTCCAAATGTACACGAATAAAAAACGAAAGCTTTTTAAATAAGGCAGAATTCGCTTTACAACTTTTAACTGGGTTTTACTTTTTATACCGACAACCAATCATATTACAATGCGTAATGATGGGAGTTGCGTCAGCCCGCAAAGATAGTGAACAGATGAAATACCGATAATTTGTTTGTGTAATGCAGTAATAAATAATTTTGGCCACTTAGCGGGTTGGTCCGCGTAACAAATTAGCGAAAATCGAGTCTCTATTCCATTGGAGAGTTATTTTTGTCATTTTGCCAGTTTTGTTTTGCACGTGTTAAAATATTTTCAATGGGATTAACTTCAGGACCATGAGCAGGGGGCCATATGTGGATAAGCCGGCTTTTGTCTAAAAAGTTAGATTACAGTCAAAAGCGTTATGGGAATTATAATTTGTAGCGGGGTCTGTCAAAGTTGACTAATTCATTGAACCAAATTGGGAAGGAGTCGTTGGTATCGATGGGTTTCGAACCGACGGCAGCAGAGGAAAGGTCTTCATATAGTCACCACTCAAGTCAACTGAGCTGTGAGGCACCGTGAGTTTAAGCACACCTGAATCAATTTACCCGCCTAGCCTACTGCAACGTATGGCATGCACCCATTCTGATATTGTAAGCCAATTGGCCAAGCGGGATCCAATGAATGAATAAAATCTGCCAACTCCCTACTAAGTAAGTGAGCCTAGTAGTCATTCTGCTGGATTCTAGATCGAGTGCTTAGGAAATTCTATAGGAGTTAAGGCTAAGACGGTTAACCATAACAGCTACATTCTTCGAGGCCCGGTTCCTTAGGAGATGGGAGATGTCTTGGGAAGGCCAGAGTGGAAGGAAGAGGTTATTGTGTACACAAAGGAACGGAGAATAGACGGAAAGAAGTTGAACTTCGGAGCACACGTCATTCCGCTGGAGCGCCGTGGTCCT